CCCTACAAAGCTCCTATTTGTATGGAAACAAATATTTGGTGTCTCTTCCAGGAAAGAGGATGAATTTGTAGGAGCTGTAACAGTGTTTTACTCCCTGCTAAGAACTTGGGGGATAGAAAATGGTTTAATTTCTATTACACACAACCCACTGATGTTTTTCTAGAGTCCACTGGCATGGAGTTTAGGAGGAGCACCTCTCCTTCACATCCTGAGAGCACTGGTGGTCCATCAAAAGATTTTTTTTAAAAAGGGGTGGCATAAACCTTGCCACTCACACAGAAGCATAAAAGATTAGGGTTGGAAGAAACCTTAAGAGGTCATTTAGTCCAACCCCCTGCTCAAAGCAGGACCAATCCCAACTAAATCAACCCAGCCAGGCTTTGTCAAGCCTGGCCTTAAAAAAACTCCTAAGGAAGAAGATTCTACCACCTCACTAGACAACCCATTCCAGTGCTTCACCGCCCTCCAAGTGAAATAGTTCTTCCTAATTTCCAACCTAGATCTCCCCCACTGTAACTTGAGACCTTTACTTCTTGTTCTGCCATCTACCACCACTGAGAACAGTCTCTCCAGCCTCTCTGGAACCCCCCTTCAAGTAGTAGGAGGCTGCTATAAAGTTCTCCCTTCACTCTCAGCTTCTCATCATTTTTGTTCCCTTCCACTGGACTTTCTCCAGTTTGTCCGCATACTTTCTGTAGTGGGAGGGGGGGTCCAAAACTGGACACAGTGCTCCAGAGGCGGCCTCTCAATTGCTGAATAAAGGGGAATAATCACTTCCCTCAGTCTGATGGCAGTGCTCCTACATAATGGAGGTACATCACCTCAGTTGGCATCCCACCCTCGTTTAAGTAGTTTGGAATAGGGACCCTGTTTTTTACCATCTGTAATGGATAATATGCACCTAGGGAACTATATAAAAACTATATTCCAATGCAAATCCTGACAGCGGATTTGTAGCTGTGTTAGGGAGTCTAGTCTCTGGTCTCATCTTTAATCACAATACCCATGTCTGCAGGTGGAAAAAAGGTCACTTGGTTCAAAGAGTGCTGATTCCAGAAAGTGAGATTTGAACATTCATTTATAGCAGGGGTTCTCAAACTCTCGGCCCACAGGCCATCTATGGCCCAAGCACTTCCCCCATCTATGGCCCATTAAGTAGTTTGAAAAAGTTATGTAACCATTAGCCCAATCAACAGGGCTGCTGGCCCAGAGGGCTGGGAAGGTGGTGAGTGGCATGCAGAGGCTCACCCATGCACACTGCAGCAGCTAGGCCCCCAGCACCCACATAGTTCCAACCGCAGAGGGCACCACTCAGTCTGCAAAGCTGGACTGGCCACCTGCACTGTGATGTGAACTGCGCTGCCAGGGAGCTACCTGAGCTGATGCTCTTCTGCAGCCACTGGGGTACGGCCAGCGTGTTTGTTTCAGTTAACAAGGACATGTGCAAGGATATGGATGTTGAGGGGGGGTATCCCAGTGCAAGGACCTAGGGGTGCGAAGGTTAGGATTGAGTTTCAGGTCTTTTGTTAGGAGTCTGGTCTCCGTCAGTGTCTCCCCCTGTGTCCAGGAGCCCAATCAACTTGCATGGCCTGTATTGTCAACCCCAAGAATTCAAAACTCATGAGCCCTCTCACCCTCAAAAAGAGAGTGGCTTTTTGAAATTAGGGATGTGAAAATGTAACCATTTACACGGATAACCAAGCCTGGGTTAACATGAAGAGTTACACACAGCCCTCCCCTGCTGTGTCTCTATCAGAGGCAGCAGCATGGAAGTGGGAAGGCCAGGCAGGAGCCGCCTGCCCTCCACCCTTGCTGTTGCCTCAGATACAGAGGCACACCAGCAGGCGGGAGCTGCCTGCCTCCCCTTATGTAACTGTAACCACTGAAATTTTCAGCAGTTACAATTAAATGTGTTTTAACATCCCTACTTGACATCAGATAAAAATACACTTGGGGATCTTTTTATTTGGCATCTGGTGTTTGAGGTCTTTGGCTGAACTCAGGGCCCGTTTTCTACCTTTTCTCCACAAACCATTGGACCAAAAGTCTTCCTTTAAAAAAAAAAAAAAAAAAGGCAGCTGGGATTCTCTTCTAATACCCTACACCAACAAACAAGCATAACCTACTAAGTCAGAATCACAGTTGATAAGGGTGTATGAGGCATCAGGAAGTTAAGTTCCCAGATCTGGCTTAATTTCAATAATGTGGCTGGGACTTTCCAGGAAAAAAAAGTCCTCAATTATCAGGAGGCTTGTGATCAAAGCAGGAGAGTTGGTATCACTGATATTGGGTAAGTTTCAGAACATGAATGGTTTCACAGCTTACACCTAGGGAAGGCTCTGCACACACCTTCCCTGGACCACAGGAACATGCTGGTAGCTCCATGAAGCTAGCAGCTGGAAGCCACTCTAGCCTTACTGTGCTGACAGTGGGACCCCTGGCAGGGCCAGGGGTCGTGCGGGAGGTGGGGTAAGCATAGACCAACAGGCAGGGCTGGGGTTGTTTGGGAGATGCACATGAAGGTCCCCAGAACCCTGCCAGAGAAGGGTGTCTGCTGGCCCATTAGTAGGATTTGAGGACTGGCACTGGCTCTAAGGTAAATTGAGTTTGAGATCCCTGGTTTACAATCTCATTCAACAGGCATCATGTGCAGGACACTTGCTCAGGCTTATTTTGCCTGAGTAATTGTCCAGCAGTTGACTAAAATTTCAAACACTCCACACGGCAACAAACAGCCGTCTGCTATAGCACAAACATTGGGAAATACAATAGTTCAAGTTAGCATAGACCCACAATATACTTGTTAAACTTCCACAGCCAGCTACAAGGGGGATTGTAATGGTTTACGTAGCTGCAAGGCTATTATTCCCTAATGTCCTCTATTGACCCAGTCCTGCCACAGTGCCCCAGGTTTGGTTAAAAACTTCTGAAGAACAAAGGCTTTCCCTTTTCACTATAGTATGTGATACCAACTGTCAGCTATTTAACACCTCACTTTGCCAGAACCCCCTAAAAGTTCCTTGTTCCCCTTTTAACACTACATCCTGACATTAAGAAACAAGTACAGTAGCATATTGATACTGTTGCACAATCAGGAAATGTGAAAGTTTCCAGAAAGTTCATTTAATGTGTGGCAGCCTGCCACCTCTTTCCTCTAAGTAGGAATACAAGTCCTATCATCATCAACTTTGAAAACACGCACCTTTAGTACAGAAGGCACTTTTTAAAACGGAGAAACAACAGGAAATGTTTTAGGGGAAGAAAGTTCTAAGCTCGACTGGTGCAGTCAAATGTAGCTCTCATCTTACAAGTGGCTCTTTCTGAGCAGACATTTACATGCCAGCCAAGCCTTGGGGGGAATTCAACTGCAGGATATGGGCTAGTATCTGTTGCAGATTGTCTCCCTCCCCCACCTCACTTTCCTTTCACACCAAGCAAATTAAGAGTGGTAAAACAGTTTGAACATTTAGACACCAGTTAGACACAATCACAGTACAGATTGCAAATTATGGCACAGATCCTCCTTCACAGTCTCTAAAACTTTTTCCTCCTCTCATCATTACCAGCTGCCTGCAATGCATTTTAGTAACATTCAACTCTCACTCACTCAGCCCACAAAAGGTTCAGAGCCCCAAATAAAAGATGAGACCTTACGTTGTTAGGGGAGTGCCAGCACGCCTTCTCCGCCTCCACTACAAAGGCAGTGGCGATCTTAATATGACCGTTTGGTACACAGTTTTGTGCTCTACAAAGATAGCAAGCTGCTCGGAGCATACGTAGCATCAATCTGGCTTAGACAGTCACTACACAGCTTAGAATGTGTAGACGCTAGTGACAAAGACAAAATGAAACGAAACCTACCAGGGTCTCTGTGCTTTACACAGGTGCATAGTTGTATGAGAAATTCAGATGACTGGGGCGGTTGTTTCCTTCCTGTATTTACAGACATGCCATGTGGTGCTGAACACTGACTGTGGGGGCTGGTTCTAACATCTGTGTTTTAAAAGCTCTCCTGTGTTGGTGAGGGGTCATGAGGTCCATTCTGGTTGGACCCTGAATTTCCCCAGCCTGCGAGCCCCATGTGGGGACAGCAACGCAGGGGGGACTAGAAGTCCTGATTTTCGTACCAGTTCTGATAGCACGGCTTTGTCTTGTATAGGTGCCTACTGCCTCTTAACCGGTCCTGCTTTTTCACACTTGCGGGTCAAAACACACACTTCCCCAACCCACTATATGCAATGGATATGAATGTCTAGAAACTAGCAGAAACAAAAACAGGCCTGTGTAGCACTTTAAAGACTAACAAGATGGTTTAATGTTAGTCTTTAAAGTGCTACACCATCCTGTTTTTTGTTTCAGCTGCACCAGACTAACATGGCTACATTTCTACCACTAGAAACTAGCAGTCCAGCAAAGAACTTGCTGACTCCCTCTCTCCCCTGCTCCCAGGAAGTGGCTGCCCAC